TAGAAACTATCTCCAAAAATTAAAAAATTGATTGGTGTGTAATGTTACACGCGGGCATTGAATTTTCAACACTGATAGGCAGTGTTGATTTATTATTATATAGTGATTTTCAGATACAATCCGTTATACTTAATAAAAAGTTTAATTAATAATATCCGTCATAGAAAGATCCGTTATATAGACAGCGCAGACTGTAGTAACAATAATAATGGTATGAAGCGAACTGTGATGATTTTTACTAAATATATATATAAAATCACGAATTTTAAATATCACGTGAGTCCGACTTAACTATTTTGAAAGGACGAAACTGTTTTTAAAAACATCAAAGACTATTTCGAAATTCCGAAATCAATTCAAAGCTCTGAAGCTTTAAAAAAAGCAAAATGATGCCTTGAGTGCTTCGTGTGGAAAGGTTCGATCCTTTATCACATGATGAGATGTTAATATTAATGTATTTTTTGGATAAAATCAACAAGTCATCTCTGTATTACGAAGCTGGAAGTATGGAAAATATTCGTGCAACATTTACAAAAATCATTTATTATTTATTATTATAGGCAATTTAAAATTTTCATTGATAGTAATAGTAATAGCATATACACGATCCAATTCCAATTTCTTTTATCAATTCCTGATAACAGTGATGGTAAAATAGTAGCAGAAATAATTGACATTTTTTTTTAGTCAATTGATAATAATAGTTGTAGTAATTGGTTTTTTTCCTTTGTAAGTGATAATAATAATAATAGTAATAGATGTTATTTATTTATTTTTCTGCTATATAGCAAATAGTCATAGTAGGATTTCTATTCGAATAATTTGTATAAAACGAATAAAACGAATAATTCGAGTAAAAGAAATAGTTTGAATAAAGCGAATAATAAATAAACGAATAAATTTGAGTTGTATTACTTAAAAATTTTGTATTACGAATAAAACTCTACTACTACTATTTTTTAAATATCTTTTTTGTTTTCTCTCTTCTAATTCGCCAATTTTTTTTGGCAATTTTCTTTACTTCTGATAATATCGTAGTAATTAGTAGCAGTAGTAATAATAATATAAATGGTAGTAGTAGTAACAACAGTAAAATGATAATAATAAATCATATAAACAAAAGAAAAAATCATATTATAATATTCATAATAATATTATTGTTAATACTAACATTTACAATACCTTCAGTAAAAACACAAGGAATATCAACAACTACAATACCGCAAGAAACTGGCAATGAAAGAAATGGCGAAGAATTATCTCCACCCTATAATGAAACAGTTAAAGAGACAGTAAACTCAAGTAATTATGTAATCACTACTTATTATTATATGTATTATATTATTTACATTTGTAAGCTAATTATTATTGTTTTTTATATTAGCGAGAGATAATAATTATCCGTTAGATGTTACTAGTTATCTAACGGGGATAGTTTTATTGTCTTCAGGCACGGCTAATTTATTTCGTGGAAATAAGTATAAATGGTTTTCAATATTTATAGCTGGATTTTATGTAACGGGTATATTTCATTTTATAAAATAATCCTCTAATACTAATCAATTTAATCCGTTTGCATTGTCTAATTCATTCTCTTTTTTTAAAAAAATAGGCATGATAATATTATTATTATTATTGTTATTATTAAATTTTGCAAATCCAAGTTCAACATTACGTTTTATTATTGTTATTATTAAATTCTTTTTCTTTTTCTTTTTCATATCGAATATCAAACTCTACGAATTGAATGCACATACCAATCAAACCACCAATAAATCCAATTGACATTAACATTACATCAACATTTTCATCAACTATATAACGATAATCGTCTGGTTGAGTGAAGCCCCAAAATAATTTAAAGGAAGCCAAAACACCAGCACGAACAAAAATATCAGTGCCAAGTAATAAACAATAACAACCAGTTGCAACGGTTGATATGATTGCCACATACTGATAATAATTTTTCAGACCGGCTAATGCAGCAAAGGTTATAGTAAAAGCCCCAATCCAGGAATAACGTGCTATTTGATTTGTGAATAAACCGTCAGTTTTTGTTGATAATGCAAACATTGATAATGAGAATCCGCCAATTGCGCCAACAAGAATTCTGCCAGTTGGCCATAAACATACAAAAAACATTCCGACTAAAGATCCTATTCCAGTGCATAATATAAAATATATAAAACGTAATGTTGAACTTGGATTTGCAACATCTTGAAATTTCAATATAAATAGTAATATTATCA